TCAAGAACATACACCTTCAATCATCAAGCTACTCGAGGCCACGTACCCGAATCCACATAACCCAGTTTGCTTCTATGTCGTCCACTTAATTGACCTCAGAGGCAGAGCTACACCAACAATAGTGGCTCATCACCGTGGAAAGAAAGAAACTACACTTGAAGAATCAGATCACATCATAAATGCTCTGAGGTTATACGAGAAGCAAAGTCACGGAAACATCACATTCTGCCCCTTTTCTGCCATTTCTCCCTATGCAACAATGCACAATGATGTCTGTCACCTAGCTATGGACAAAAGAGCCGCCTTTGTAGTTGTACCCTTTCATAAACACTGGGCTATCCACACTTCAGAGGCAGAGGCAAATTGCATTAGGAATGTGAACCGTAAGATTCTAACAATGGCACCATGTTCTGTCGGTGTATTCATTGATCGCAGCACTAGCAGCACAAACACACCTCTGACAAATGTCTATAACATTTGTGTCCTTTTGATAGGCGGGCAGGACGATCGAGAGGCATTAGCCTATGCTAATCGGATGGCTATACATCCCAACGTGGGAGTGACACTTGTCCGGTTAATAGAACGTAAGAAATTGGACAACTTCAACTACACACAAGACATGGTAAAAGATGCAGAAGCCATCAATGCATTTAGAGAAGCTAACATGAACAACAAATTATGCATTTATGAAGAAGAAGAGGTAAAAGACAGTGTAGGAGTTGTTAGTGTAATTAGGAAAATGGAAAATTGTTTTGACTTGATCATAGTAGGGAGACACCATGATTGTAACTCAGCATTGTTAGGAGGACTTAGAGAATGGAGTGAGTTTCCAGAATTAGGGTTTATAGGGGACATGTTGGCTTCTTCCGACACAAATTATGAGGTATCAGTCTTAATAGTGCAACAACAAGCTTTTCCAGAGGACAAATTACAGCTTGAAAATCCCAATTCGGCTGCTGCTGTAAATATGAACATTTAAATATGTACATTAAGGTTGAAAGTCTACGGAATTTTCTAATTTACATGTAAATAAGAGTTCTCAAGATTTCAGCACATATATTAGTTACAAGCATCTATACACCGGAGATATATAAAATATTTTGCACAATCACGCCACTTGTAATAAAGTAATTACAAGAAAAGGTAAATCAGAATTTAAAACTATTAGCACCGAACATATTATGCTTTTGAAAAAAATTACTACTCCGAACCTATTTCCTTTTTGGTCCGTTCCAAATAGAATGACTCTTTTCTATTTGGAAACAATTTAGTTTAAACTTACAATTCTACCCTTAATGAGAAGCTGTTATAACCACACAAATACTCTGGGCCCCTTTTTGATTTGTTTAGGACCATAAATTTCAAAAGTCTTCATTTTTTCTTAAACTTCGTGCCCAGTCAAACATGTTCACATAAATTGGAACGGATGTAATAGTTGTGTTCGCATACATACCTATAGTTGTCGAAAGTATAAGTCTTATAAATAAATCTCAACAATAAGCATTAAATGGTACGGTAAAAATGATAATTACCTACTATTACAAGTTAAACTACATCGGTAATATAAAAAAATATTTAATTTAAATTCATTACTAAATTAAGTACTCAAGTAATTGGACCAGCAAATTGTTCGAAACAATATTGTCGTAATATGTCTAATAATTTTTTAGTTATAACTTAAGATGGTGCAAGTGTGATAACAACACGATAGGGTCTAAGATTTACTAAAGAAAAACCAAAAAAATCAAGAAACGTGCGGAAGCTAAAAAAAATTAAGAAAAAGAAGACAGAAATAAAAGATAGATCGAATTCAAGAAAGAGTTTATTGAATTCAAGAAGTCTATTCTTGAATTTAAATTGTCACGACCCAAAATTCAACCCATCGTGATGGTACCTAACCCAACCGGTTAGTTAAGCCAAATAATAATAAAACACAATATAATGATAATGATAAGAGTCAAAAATGAAATAATTGAATTTTATACGACTTTCCAAGGACCGGTAGTTCATAGCCTAAGCACTATCCCGAACATGGACAAATACCTCGGTGCTCGCACATGGGCTCAAACCCCATACATATGCGTACCCATAGCACATAACTATCACAAATAATTCAGGCAACTAGTGCCTCAACCAAGTTTAGATAAGATACTTACCTCAAACATACAAAAATAATTATCGAGCAAGCCAAACAACTCTCTAGAAATGCCATCCTGCGCGTATGAACCTCCGAACGGCTCGAAACTAGCCAAAAGCAGATAAAAATATCAAATAATGCCTAAGGAAACAATTCCAAATGATAAAGGTCAAGTCTTTACACATTTACTCAACGTCAACCAAAAAGTCAAACCCGGGCCCGCACCACGAAACTCGACAAAACTCACAAAATCCAATAACCCATTCAATTACGAGTCCAACTATACTAATTTCACTCAAATCCGACTCTGAATCAATGTTCAAAACTCAATAATTCACTTTAGAAAAGTTTAAACAAAAACCCTAATTTCTCTTTAAAATTCATAATCCAAATACCAAAATTAAAGTCAGATTCATGAAATATAATCAAAAGCGAATAGAAAATACTTACCCCAATCCATGTGGTGAAAATCGCCTCCAAAATCGCTCAAATCCGAGCTCCATCGCTCAAAATATGATAAAATGAACTCAAAATCCCAAAATTTGATGTTTTAATGCATTGCCAGTGGTCTTTATTCAAGATCCTTGCGATCATGATTCTAAAATTTTCTAGCACAGTTTTTACCCTTCGCGATCGCGGCCATTTTCCCGCAATCGCGATTTACAAATTCCATAACATTCCTAAACTCTTTCCTGACAGCTTGTAGTCAAATCGGCCATAACATTTTGTAAAAAAAATCCAAATGTTAAATGGTTTGATTTTTTGAAAACTAGAAACAAAAGGATACAACTTTCGTTTTTGGATCATCTCCAAATTTCTTATAGATTGCAAGACATAAGCTTCCAAAGTTAGCTGAGTGACAGCAAAATTTCTTCTTCGCGAACGCGAATCTTCCTCCGCGAATGCGATTCTTAGGTTCAATTTTTCCATTTTACTTTTCTCAATCGCACCAATTCTCCGCGATCGCAATGTACACTCCTTTAGCCAAAAACCAACAGTTGAAAATAGCCTAAAAATAGTCTGAAACCATCCCGAAACTCAACCAAGCCCCTCGGGACCCCGTCTGAACATACCAACAAGTTTCAAAATATAACACAGACCTATTCGAGGCCTCAAATCATACATTACAACATCAAAAGCAAGAATCGTTGATCAAGATCAATCTCTTAAGTTCATAAACTTCAAACTTCGAATCAAGCGTCCGATTCAAGCCTAACCCATCCGGAATGAACCCAAATTTCCATACAAGTTCCAAATAACATAACGAACCTATTCCAACAAACAAAACAATAATTTGAACCTGATATCATCAAAGTTAACTCTCGGGCAAACTTATGAACATTCCAAACCTTCAAATTTCTAACTTTCACCAATTAGTACCGAAATCTTCTAAAAATATCCAAATACAAATCCGGGCATACGTCCAAGTCCAAAATCACTATTTGGACCTAACGAAATCATCAAAACTCCGGTCTGAGGTCAAATGTACAAAAGTCAAACATGATTAACTCTTCCAACTTAAGGCTTCAAACATAAAAATCATTCTTCCAAACTAATTTTGAATCACACGAAAACTAAACCGACGATACATACAAGTCATAATACATCATACAGAGCTACTCAATACTTCAAACATCTGAACAGAATACAAATGCTCAAAACGACCGGTTCGGTCGTCACATGAATGTTAACAACAACAGTTAATAAACACTGTTAACAACAACAGTTAATAAACGACCGGTTAGGTCATCACCAAACTATGAACTAGTTAGACCCCTTGAATTTCTATAATAAATACTAATCTAGAAAAAAACAAGAACAACTAATACAGATTAAGCTAAGTAAAGAATGCAATTCAAAGTCCCTACAAGATATATCAACTAGAACAATTAATTAACATTCAAATACAAAAGATAATCCAAGAATGTGAACAAGAACTCATACATGATAAACCTAACATAGATAATCTAGAAAATAGGGTAAATAAAGAGAAATAAAAGATACACTAAACCTCCCAAGGTTTGGTCTTTGTTTATCAATCCATCATCACAGAGCTTCCTTTCAAAATGAGAGGAAGGTACTATTTATACTAGAGTATTATTTTGGCTAAATAACCAAAATATGCTTAGCTAGTAAAGGAAGCTAAGTCTAGCCTAAATAGCTAAATTGTAAATATAGCCTTCTTGATCTTGACTCCTTTAAAGCACTATAATGCTATAATATTGACTAAAATCATCCTCATTAAGGGTGCTAATCGGGGTTGTATCATCCTCCCCCAGAAAGAAATTCGTCCTCGAATTCGGACCTTGCAAAACCAAGAAAGTGGTAAATATAAGTACCAAGTCAATCACAATCAAAGCATTGTATATCCAAGGTAAAAGATCAAAGTGCGCAATCTTGCACTCAAAAGTAACACTCTTATGATATAGCGAAGTGTTATAATTTATAAAGAACACTTCAACACAAATGACACAAACTTGACTATAAGGAAAATAATACTCATGAGAAGAATCAAGAGAAGATAAAGTCTCATGCCTCCAATAAAATCACAATCCTGTAAAATTCTTAACAAAGTGCACACTTTTATCGTATATCCAAGTGTCATAAGAAAAAATAAAAATCATACGCTCCAATCCAAAGAAAGACACTTTACCATAGTAAGAAACAACTCTGGGGTCAAAAATAAACTTTAATCCCCAAGTATCCACATACTTTCAAACAACAACTTCACTTGGCAACTTAAGAGATAGGCTAACATCATGAATCATCATATGGAAAATATCAAAATACTCAAAGTTACGAATCTCTACCTCAATGGACTTAAATAAATACAAGATAAGCATAAGCCAAATATACATACCATTCTTGCTTTTGGACAAAAGAAAAAGCTCTTGACAAATAATATGCCAAAGTGTTAATTCAAGGCTTACCTTACCCTTGCAACTTTCTCATGTTGAACCTTCACAAAATAATCAATAAAGTTAGGTTCTTTTTGCTCACAATGACCATTCAAAACAACCAAAGAAACATTCTTACCTTTTCTCATAGAAGCATTAGCAAAATATAACGAGAATGTTCTTTCAAAAGTAGGAATAAGATAAGTAAAGCAATTAATACTAGTGCTAGCATCAAAGACTTTGCTTTCCTTTTTACATTCAACCAAATCACCACATTCAAATTTGCCCATTTCTTCATAAAAATTGAATCTTTCTCCCAAAATAATGGAAATAGAATAAAGAATTCATCAACACATTCTTCTTGACTCGTTTCTCCATAAAGTTCAAAACTTAATAAAGAATTCATCAACACATTCTTCTTGACTCGTTTCTCTATAAAGTTCAAAACTTTCTTCAAACAAAGTTAAAGTAGAGTCAAAAGAATCATCACATTCATCATCCCATAAAGGTGGTCTATCATAAGACTCAACATCATCACTAGCTAAAGAGTCATAAAAAAAAGAACTAGGATCATCCAATAATGCACAAGAACTCTTAACTAGTTGCAAGCCACAATTATTTTTCTCATCACAAGATAAAGAAATATCAAACTCATCTATGTCATAGCTATCTTTCAAACTCAGTCACCACAATCGACTAAACTAGCAAGAGTAGAAAGATAAGCTATTTTATCTTGAAGCACGTCTAAAGTATTTTCTTTATCTTATACTTTCTCATTTAATTCCATAAGTCCTCTTGAAAAGATAGATTGATCTTCTTCCAAACTCTTCAAAGTAGATTGAACTTCATTTGATGGCTCATCTCCAAATTTCCCTACACCAGATACAAAACAACTAGAGAAAGAAGAAATGTTAGTAGTATTAGAATAAGGAAAATCATCACTCT